CAATCGTCATTTTGTAGAGCGTTTTTTACTGCATCTTTTCTTCATAGAGACAAATTTACAACCACTTGTTTCACTATAGAAAAATTTATTATTCAAATCGAGTCAGGACTTCTGGCCCACCCTTTATGCTTCCGTAAATAATCACAAATCGTAGACGCTTACTTCCTGTCGTTTCTTCTTCTGTGTATATTTAATTTTGTCATATAAACGTTTATGTTTTTTCGGTATTGTCATTTCTCTCAAACGTTTCTCTTCATCACTCTTTCTTTTTACGATATGTTTAACATTTAGGTTTTGTATTTCGCCACTTCCAACGCGCATCGATTTCAACTATAAATACATCCATACTAAAATAAATGAAATCTGAAGCTCAGATAAGATTCGTACCCGCTTATCTTTTTCTTGCTGTTGTTGTTGTTCCGTTTGTCCACGCGGTAATGCATCATCAATATTTTCATCACTTTTTTTTGTTGGCTTTTGATCACGATTCAAATACGCGCTATTATCAACCAGATTTAAGGGCTCAGCTAAATACAACAGTTGACACATCCCATGGAGCACTCTTTGTCGATTTCCAAGATATACTTACTAATCTTTTCTTCCACTATAGGCTCATCACGATTTAATAAACGTAATTTCTCTGGTGGAATATAATCAGTTTCTTTCTCATCAACAAATGGTGATAAATGAGGTGGTAATACACTGCCTTTAAAAAAAAGAATAAATAGAACGAATAAACAACAAACTTCTTCTCATACCTGGTAGATAATCGTCGATTGGTAATTGTTTTCGTGCGTTGATAGAATCAAATATCCATTGAGGTTGAATATAAATTCTAAATAATAGTATTTTGTGTAACTATGTGACATTATGGTAGTTTAATAAATACCTCTTAACAAACATTTCTGTTAAAATTGGACGATCAATAATTTCATGTGTAATACACTCATCTGATTCATCATATGTTGAACCAGCATAAAATGATTTATCCCAGGACACATCACCACCACATGCACTAAAGTTATACGATAAGATTTTAACTTCTGTTTGATATTTGTCTTTTGATATCATCTTACCGAATAACAAATGCAAACATTTCACGTGGTACTTCTCGACTAATAAAAAATTTACAATTTTTGAATAATGATTGAATTTGTTTTGTTTCTTCTTCTTTTTTCTGACGTTCTTCATTAGCTTCTTTATCACCAAGCTTAGAAATAATACAGTTTTCAATAAATGAATAAAGTTATGATGAGTATTAATGCCTACCAATTCGGCTGCTTCAACATCTGTTTCCATTTCATCAACCGCAATACTTTCTGGTTTTTTCATTATTGGTAAACCGAGTGATGATAAAAACTAAACAATACTCTAGTTGAACAACAGTTACTGTAAAAGTGTCTGACATACTTCATCGGTAAATTCATCTTCTGAACATAATTTTGATAAAGATGTTGTGGCAGAAAATGTGAGCTAAACAAATAACAAATACACAAATTATTTCTTAAATTCGACTTCTTAAATCCTTTTTCTCATTATGTTACTTACTTTTGGTGGATAAACAAGTCCATATTCGGTATAAAGCTTATAATTAATAAATCCTAAGAGTGTTGTATAAAATTCTAGAAACGTTGCCATTATTTTAAAATCAACATCTGCTGGATTCTAAAAGAATAATCATTTATGATTACTTAAAATCAGATGAACATTTAAGAAAAAATACTCACTTTGTGACCAAGTTTATGTGGTACAATCCATGTTATTAATTCACCACGTATTTCAGCTTGAAAATAGTAACCTTTTATAGATATAAAACATTTTTTTAATGTTCCAGATGCAATAACATAATGAAGAAATTCCACGGATAAACGTCGACATAAACGAAGACGTGGTTCATATAATTTTTTCAATAACGGAAAGTTCGCAAATAAAAAAACTAGATAGAAAAAATAACAGTTTATTAACGGATGAGAATTTTAGAACTGTAGACATAATCACAGCAGCTATTTTTAAATCGATTATTTAATTTTTATTGAAAATATTGAAAATTCGACATTTCGAAAATACACTTTTCATTTTCAAGAAAACACACAGATAAACAAACTATACTGTAACGTTCGAATCAAAAATATAAGTTCTACTAATATATACAGATCTTTATATGTGAAATTCTACAGAGTGAAAGGGATAAAATAAAAGACCATGTCTAGATATTTATGAAAGTAGACAAGTTATAACATTGAAGTAGACGAGTATGTAACTATTCAACAGTTAATATAGATAAAACAAAGAAAAATAATTTCTTTCTAATATAAATACTATTCAACCTCCTGGATCTGGGACTAAATTTTTGAAATGCCATTTGGAAAGATGAAAAGTACCGTATGAACGTACCGTATTGTTAAGTTTAGGTTGATGATTCAAAATGATGAGAGATTCTTTAATCAGAAGGCGATATGTATTATCGTCTTTTTACATCCGTCCCAATTGATTGTATGATTTGTGTCTTGAATGTGTCGAAAGAGAGCAGATTTATTTTGTTTAGTAGTAGAATATTATTTTCAGCGAGTGCATAATAGATTTTAGGTTTTTCCGCTATACAAGCAAAACGTTTAAAGTCTACCTGATCAGAATAAGATGTAACCTTCATTCTTGATCTAATCTTTTTTATCCATCCTGAAAAGTCTTGTGTAGAAAATTCGTTCATAAACTTAATAATATATAATGAAAATTGTATTTTCGAAATGTCGAATTTTCAATAAAAATTAAATAATCGATTTAAAAATAGCTGCTGTTATTATCTTAACAAGACACTAACAGATTATCATATAATCACTAACATAGAACTAAAAAGTTACATACCCAACGTTAAACAATCATCTAAATCTCTTAATGCATCAATAAACGATGGATATCTTAAAAAACAAAAAATATAAATTAATTCATATCATATTTATCACAAGCAAACGCACCTTTCTCGAACAATATGATCTAATTTATAAAACGGACGATTATCACGAATTATTAATTCTTTACTCTTCTCTCGTCGTGCTTTGGCTTTTGTCAAACGACGAAGATAAACCTAGAAGATCAAAATATGTAACAATCACCACATTTCACAAAATTCATCTTCAAACTACCTTTAGATGTCGAAATTTATTGATAATCGGTTCATGTGTTAAAAATCGAATGTCTTTTGAATAATAATATGTTTTATTAGCTAATCTACCACGATTTGCTTTACGTCGATTACGTGGTTCAACTGGATAGATTCCTTTCAATATACACAAACGTCTACAGAAAAAAGAGAATTTTAACAATAACAATTCTTAGATTTTGCAATGAATGCAAACAGACCAGCAATACTTACCGAAAATCAGATAAGGTTAATTGTAGTTTTCGTAATGCTTGGTTACGGCTAGTATAGGTGACAGCCGCACCTTTTTGATACTAAAAAACAAACAGTCAATATTAATAAGACCAATTTATCTACAATTATAAAACCTACTTTTTTTTGCATTTTAGTCATGATTGTTCGTTATTATTCAATCTAAAACATAGAATAAGTAAACAAATTAGAGTCTAATAAGTTTTTTTTTCACGTAAGTATATGCGGTAAAATTTGTAACAAAAAGTTCAGCATTGAGCGATTCAGTTGAATTACTAATGTAGATGAAACGGAAACAAATCATTTCTTGATTATTATAAGGTCAGAAAGATGCACTCTGATCAGTCTTGAGAACTTTCTTACAAGCTGTGAGCGATTTTCACATTCTACTATGAGTAACAAAAATAAACTAAAAGTTTTGATTAGAAATTAGGTTTGTTATATTAACTGAACAGAAAAAAGTTGATGAGATACTTTTTCCTACAACGTGCTCATCTAAGAGATACTGAAGATACTCTAGTAATGACTTACGTCCCATTCTTTATTACGCTAGAATGCATAAATAAAATAGAGAGCAACAAAAAAAAGGACGAATTCATCCATCATTTTGATCGTTCGATCTATGCAATAAAAAACTCAAACCAAAACATACACTTAATTGTATGAAAAAACTTTTAAAAAGAAATTTCTGAGTGTTAAGAAAGACACTATAACTAAAGGTAAAGAATATCACTAATTTAATTAATTTAATACTGATTACTCATAATTAGTGTAAGTTCAATAACCCAGTGATTTTAATTTTTGCTCATTTCGTCTATAGATTCCACGTAAGTCATGATGGAGTTTAGTTCGATCACAACCAATTGAAAATTAGCTCAAAAATACATCATCATTATCCTGTAACGATAGAAATCCTATTTTATTTTCTTCGTTCATTTATCTGAACGGTACTAGCAGAATAGAGAATTTTTCATCTAAATTTTAGTAAATTTTTTCCAGTAAATTTTTTAGTAATATTCTTTGTTCCATCGCCTGATCTAAAATCATGAATGACATGTGCAAATTCAATCGGTAATAGAACTAATACATTGATTTGAACAGTCATTATGGTGACTTTTAGACATCCTTATAAATTATGCAAAGATGTAACAACCATCAACAATAAACAAATAAATGTAAAAAAAGAAAATAATCTTTCTAATAAACACGGTTAACTTTTTTATTGACTTTTTTAAGAGGATGCAATACCACATCGGTAAAGGAAAAAGCTCTTCAACGTGTCTCATTCAACTACACTAAAGAACAGTTTTTATCCAGCATTTTCGAGCAAAAAAAGGAATAGATCGTAATATATCGTCTAATATTAAAAGCAAAATTTGCGTAGTGTTATTTAATATATTCTAATCTATTTATTAGCGAATATAGATAGAACAATAAAACGACATTTCACTCGCTAAGAGTAGAGAGTACTATGCAGGGAATGCAAACAAGTATTTAATCCAGAAGATATTAACACGTTTAGACAGAAATATTCACATCTTAAAAAAACAACGTATTACATGAAAAATAGAAAAAATTACGCCAACAAAAGGACTACATAAGGATAATTAGCCGAAGACTTTTCATCAACTGTTATTTCTACTACAATCTAACACATAACATGATTCAAATAAACTATTAATAAAAAATTACGCCAATACGTTTTATAAACGGATGTTTACGAACAGTATCCGCGTCATTTTCTTCATTCTAACTTATAAACCTTAATAAATGTTTAAAAAAGCAACAGCTTATAAGCCAAATTTAATAAATGGTTTAAAAGAACATCAACAAGTTATAAGCCATTACTCCGTGTATCATCTACACCAACGTTATAGAACTTATTTCTTTCCAGCCAATGATAGTCCGAATCCGGACTCTACGCAAGAAACACAAAGAAGACGCTAATAGCAACTCCATTTGAAAAGGAGGGAGTTGTTAGTCAGTCGACGAAACCATCTCAGAAAAATAACCAACAATTCCACCTCGTCGTTCACGAGAAGTATATAACTCTGGGAACTAACTATTTCTATTTATCGTACGTACAGACCAGAGGCGACAAATTCTGATTCTCTAAAGTGAAAGACAAGAGTGTTTTTCTTGAACCGACAGTTTTTCCAAACTGTCGTTCACACTTAGCAGCTGTTTGTTCGCAACTTTGTACGCGTCTAATGTCTATATATATTACCTTTCAGAAATTCTTTTAACTTAAATCGCATTGAACAGTAATTTACTTCAGAATTTTGGTTACACCTTCTCATTCATGTGGAATTATGCATTTTATCTTATAGTCGGAGACTCTTTGTTCTGTTGTTAAAAGAAAGACAGCTGTTGAAAACTCACTATGATCTATAGTTTTTCTTTGAATTATAAATTATAAAGGAAAACCTCGGGCACCATCACCCTTTTGTACTAATGATACTCTTGTTGACCAAGGTTTAGAAGCCTCTAGAATGTGGACCATTGATTGAAAACTAGGTGTTTGCTCTTCATCTGGCACGATATTTTCATCAAAATCAAAGTTATTTTCATCTTCGTTTCCACTAGTACCACCTATGTCAAACGTGACAGATTGATGATCATCATGTTGAACCGATCGTCTCGAAAATGGTGATGAATGTGAACAGGACGACCGACGACTTGGTAAGGAAAGATGGGTTGCATAGGCGGGTGTTAGATGTTTTCGCGCGGGTGGATCTGTGTTTAGTATTGTCGATGTTGTATTCGTATCCTGATCGTTACTATCAAGAAGAACGCCAAGACTTTCGCTGAGGAGTAACGCCGTTTTATTTAGATCATAGATTAATAGATCTGTTACTCGTTTCAACGGTATCATATTGTTTTTGACACCTATCAACGATTGTTCTTCATCTTCTTCAATTATTTGTGTATTATTTAATGCGGGATGAAACATTTTCATATTACTCGACGTATTTGTTTCGAACGAGTTTGAAGACATTACATCACGTAATAAATTTGCTTTGGGAAAAAGCATTTGACGCATGATTTTAAATATTCGACGTTTTCGAATAGAATGAACAATATGTAAAAAACAAAGTATTCCACAAACGATTGCATACTGGAATACTATGACAGAAAAGGAGTGTTTAGTGTCTATGTCACGTTGCTCTGGATGACTGTATTTATGATAATTAAAATAGATATCTTGGCAAAATATATTCTTTGGATCTGGGACTAGTCTCTTGCCCGTATTGTTCACTGATCGTGATTCATAGATGAGTAAACAGACAGAATGTTTTCCATGCTCAACATCCTCTAAATAAATTATATTTGTATTGTTTTCCCCAGATTCAAATGGTCGAATAGATAATTCACGTAATTTAGTGCGATTATAGCGAGCAGTATATTTCATATAAGCACTTGATGTCGGATAAAGTGAACCAAATAGCTGAAATGTAACACGGACCGTATGTTTGTCGATAAACTGCCAGGAACTCTCATAATAAGAATGCTCGTTTGTCGTATCATGTGGTATTTCCATCATTGTGAAGGTAGTGCTGGTGGTAGTTCTTTTCTTTTTGTTTAATTTAGTCAAATTTGAAAATTGAGCAATTTTTTGTGATATATTACGATGAAAATGATTTTGTATCACTTTGCCATTAACACTCAAATCGTGAGCTAAATGAATGATGATTATTAATTTTAAATATACTAACAACAACAATCGCATTATTACTCTATTTGTATTCCTGAAAACAAAAACAATGCTTCAATGTTACGTATGATAGAATAAGAAAAGAAAATTTGCAAAAAAATTTGTATTTTTGTTAGTTCTCAGCATTCTAAATATGAATATCTCTGTAATAACTCTAATACCATGTTTCAAAAAGATTTCAAGGATAAAAGTTTCGTGGCTTTCTACAACAAAACTAGTTTTCATTGCATTGTGCATCAACCAAAGTTCATCGAGTTATTTTATATCAACGAGGTTGAATATATTTATACTAAAATAAGGCCACATTTAACATCTGAAATGAATATCTAGTGGCTTTTGTTCTTACTTATGTGCGTTTAGAAATAAGCCCGTCTTGAAACGCATAAAGGAAGGTATATCCTAATGAATCGTGTTATTTCATACACGCTTCTATGATAAAAGATGTTGAAAGAACGTGCTAAAACGCGTCTGAGTAAATGTTACTTTACACTTTCTCGGTATTGCACACATACAAACGTGTTCAGACTCGTTTTTAGTATTTTCCGTCAAGAAAAGAAGCGTTTGGGCGAATTAGCTTCACATATTTTTAAAATAAACGTGTTTCTCTAATTACTCGAAAAAAGGACTCTAAATGCATCTGTAGTAAACGTATTCCTGTGTTTGTCTTTCATATGTGTTTGATCATGACCGAGAACATGTTTGTCTATGATTTCAAACTCAGAACATGCTTGAACGCGCTTTTTTACAAACACAGAAAAAATCACTAGTTAATCGGCAAATTATGGCACCGTCTTATGTTCGTATCACAGCTGTAGAATGGTCTCTCCGCAATACGTACCTGATGCAATGAAAAATTCGTGTATCAGCAAGAATGTTGCACTAACTTCTTTTTCATAGTTTCAATTACATAGTCACAGAGTGACTTCGAGTTGTATCTCTTAATATTTGCTAGTTCTATGTATAGCTTCCTTTTCCACCTCTCTTGCCTCACACACTTCAAACATCTATATCTATCATATTAAAATATAATAAACAAAACTTATTACCGTAGCAGAGTTATTTTGTATTGTTTTTGACCACAACAAAATAATCCTTATTGAATAATGATTTCTCTTTTTCGCGTTTATTTGTGATATTACCTAGATGAACGCATTATTTTGGTGCCCATTAATATATCAAAATTTTTCTGCATTTTTAATCGATATTCAAACATCGAAATAAAATAACTATTGTTCGCACAGAATGTACTGCACGCATACATACAGACACAGCTGTTGTCATATTGAGAAATATAAAAGCTGTTTTTACACACATTTGGTAAAAATATGATTTGTGTTCATTGGTTTGACTAAACTAGTAATACGATCGTCGTGCTATAGTCAACTTACATTCTCGTTTATATTACAGAACGTTTTGTAAATCCAAATTTGGATAAAACAGTTTCTAATATAAAAAGAATGACGTATGTGATAATGGTTTATCGTACGAAGTAGTCGGTAGTAATTTTGTCAAATTGATTTTTGTCGTCTTAAAAAGATAGAAGTATGCGTTTAAGGCCTAAAAAGGCAAAAATTATGGTTCGTTTTTTGTCAAAATCTACAGTGAAATGTTTAACGTAAAAAAGCGTCCACGTTGTTTTCTTTTAACGTTAATTATTACATAAAATATTACTGTGTGCTGTTGACTTAAATTTTCTATCGTATGATATAGTGCATTATATTTATCGGCGATGTCATGCGTTGAAAATATTTTTGCGCTCAATTGAAAGAAGATCATACCAATTCCATAAAATTCGCTTCTAAACACTAACAGAAGATCGATCTCCTCCAAGACAGCAGAAGTCACTTAGAAAACTTACTAAATAGAGAATGTAAGGGGATAAGGCTGTTCTCTGTTTCCCAACAGAATCGATTTTTTCTGATGGAGTAACGTGTCAGAAAGACATCTGTACGATTTTTCCCCATTTAGTTACCCGAAATTCTGATACAAGATTTTTGAAGTCTGTAGTATCGCTTAGAATTTCTAGAAATTTTTTACCGGATATTTTTGAAACATATGGATTATAAGCGGTTTTTTACACTGATCACAAATATCACATTTAAAATTGAAAAGTATTTATTCGATCAAGAGAATTGAGTTTTTCTGAAAAGAAGATGATATCTCACAAACTTTAATCTCTGTCGATAATCAAAGGTATTTTTATTTTTTTGAAATTAGTTTAAAACGTTTGATTATTTGCTTCAGAAAATTATCAAGTTCCATTGAGAAGTCGAAATAGGTCAAGACAAAATCTAAACAGCGAAAACAAAAACCATTTTTTTTCATTTTGTCTCCAGTGTATTCTAAGGAAACGCTTGAAGCAATGAGAGGAAGAAAATAGTCATATGTAAGTCTATTTTCATTTACATGTAAGTCATATAGTAAATAAATTGATTATTGGTAAATTGATAAAATTCTGTTCTATACATCATATGTTTTGAATAAATTTGATTCAATCTTCAATCAATCCATCTACGTATATGATCTGACAAAACAAGGGCAAGCATTAAATAATTACAATAAGAAACTGTCAATTTGTCTATAAAATTGGTGCTAAAAAAAAAATTCTTCGCTAAACACTAAAATTCTTTTTTATATAATAAAGAAAATTCAACAAATAATCATTGTAAGAGAGTCAATAAAATTTTTTACATTAATATTTGTTGACTACTATGATCAAACATAAAGTCGACAGAGGAAAAAAAAAATACATACAATAAAAGAAACAAACAGTGCTATATTAAGAAAAGCAACTGCTGATCTCTAGTAACAATAGCAACAAAAAGTTTAAAAAAAGAAGCGTGCACAAAAAATCTACTATTACATTGACGAGAAAAAGATAAATAACAAGAGAAAAGTGGACTAAAAAAATGGCAAAAAATATTATTTAAAATTTTGTTCTACTTCCAAACTTTAATGTTATCTTGATATATTTGATAATACATATTATTCCATAAATCATCCCAAACAGGCATTTGACTGGTACTATTTGTACCAAAACTTAATTGAGATTTATCATTTCGATGTTTAACATGTAAACTAATTAAATTTGGCATACGTTTAACTAATTTAGGAACCATATAATGTAAATCAGTTGTTGAACTAACAGAAAATATTAAATATTCAATATTAGAAAAAACATTCATAAATTGTTCAAATTTATCTTCTAATAAACATCCATTACTAAAGTAATATGTAAAAAATTGATAGTTATAACAATTGAGTACTATTATTCAGATAAATAACCTACCGTAAAACAAATTTTTTTATTTTTTTATTTAAATTCATGTTAATATCTAGAATTTGAAAATTAGATGTCATATCTAATAGTAGATCATAATCTGTTTTCAAATATCGTATACGTGGTAAATTATTTAATAATTGAGAAAATGTAAGTGTTGATAAACAAACAAATATTTCTAAATGAACTAATTTGAAAAAATCAAGTGTTTGACGAAGAAATAATATTACATCGGGTATTGTTTGAATCGTTGTATTAGGATATAATTGTAATGAATGAACGTTTGGAAATTGATTTTGACGATGGAGAGCTTCATCATCATGAATAAATGTTTCATTTAATTTTACATACAAATATTCAATGTTATTATAGATATTTGAGATTTGTGTCGATCGTAAACTATTTAATGATTGAATAAATGATGCACGTGGTGGTATTGTATACAAACTAAAACAATAATAAAATCAATAAAAATTTATCCACTTTATACTCTTCATTTCCGATGGTAATTTATACATGAAGAGGATACGTGAACGGTTAAGATAAAATTATTAGATTTCTCTCTCATCATCTTTTATTTTTATTTAATTCTTCATTATTTCTCAATGTTTCCGAACACGTTTTCGAATAATAGCCAAGTTAAGGGTACCCCTCCCCTCTTTTTGGGCTTTCCGTAGAAATGCTGTGAAATAAAAACTAAAAGTCGCTAGGGCTTCGTATTTTCAGAACTGATTGAAAACTCAATGGAGCACTTTTTCATGTTTGTTTCAAGTTTTCAACTATTGCTACTCACCAGTTTTCCAGAAAACTCGGTTTTTCATTGTGCCACATTATGACCTCATTTAAATTTCATCCGATCGAGTTCAAAATTTTACCAGAGATACTCAAGGTCATTCCGCAGAGTTCATTTTGGGAAATGTTTTTGAGACCTTTCCTTGTCGAGTTATAGGGAAAATACTGAAAAATATTTCAAAAAGCAAGTTTATCAACCCTATAAGTCGGTAAAGAACAGTCTAAAATAAAATTCCAAAAGATTACCTCTGCAATAGTGTCTTGAGTACCTCTGGTAAAATTTTGAACTCAACCGGATCAAATTTAACGCGAGTTGTAATGTTGGCACAATGAAGCCTGGTAGCAAAAAAATAGTTTTCGAGAAAAAAAACGTATTTTGCACATAGGTCACTTTTTTCAGAATATTTGCCGCGATGCTTATATCTCCGCGAAAACTCATCGAAAAATTCTGTAAAACGTCTCATTGTGAAGAAAACACTTTGTTCTATCAGACTATGTGTAAGAAAAATTTGCATGTACAGAAAATGAGAGAAAACGAGACGAAAGAAAAAAACTTCAAAAATCCATGACTTTTGAAAAAAGGTCGTGAAGTAGTGGGAGTAGTCTTATTTTGTAGCCCACACTTTCTTCTACATTAGGTTATGCTCAGCTCAAAATCCGAAATTTTTACAAAAAAGAGCGGGGGTATCCTTAATAGAATCGACTAGAAGTTGTATCCTGATGACTCGTTAAAAAAAAGGTTACGTCAACTCATATTTCATCGAACAATGCGGGAAAAGGATCTACTTACTGAAATTTTCCAATTGCACTACAATCAACAACAAAATTCCAATGATGTTGTTGCCAAAATTTTGTTTGAAATGATGATGAGAGAGTATCAAAGTCTGTTGATGTTGCCGATGATGTGATAATATCTAAACTAAATTTTGTTAAAAGTGGTAAACTCGTTAATAATGTTTGCCAACGTTGACTATTTAAATATTCGTTTCCATTTGCTGTAAATGAAAATTCTTTTAATTGTGTTAGACTCGTTAACAATAATTCAATGGAATGAAAACGAACAGATAAATCACAATTTAACTTCATTATAGACAAATTTGTTGATGATAATATAAAATTTGTTGTTCGTAATGATAATTTATTGATAATCAAACAACGTATATGTGGCAAATGATGAAATAGGAGATTTATTTCGTTTAAATAAAATCCATCAAGTGTTAAATGTTCAATATCCGATGATAATGATGATTGTATTTTTTGAAATGATATGATACCATCATACGATAATATACAGGTTTTTAATGATTGAATACTGAATATTTCACAATGCACAGAACTTAAGGCTGTCATTTTTATTGATAAATGTTTTAATTGTGACATTGTTAATAACATTTTCATAATATTTTGATATTCATCAACTAAAATAGTCAAATATAACAATCAATTAGTCATAAAATGAAACCAATTGATTTTATAATAATCAATTTTCATTTACCTGATGGTTCAATAATGGCTAATGATTGTAAATTTGGAAAAGATGTTTGTAAATTAAATTGAAATAAAAATAGTTTAATTGAACCACATGCACCATTATTAGATAATTTTAATGAATATAACTGAGATTGATAGCTAGAAAATATATGTTGACAATAGTAATCAAAATCATCTTTTGATAAATTAGACATATCAATATGAAAATGAAGACTAGTGATCAATTGATTTAGACGAGGATTTGTTAAATAAAACGAACAAATTATATCCAATGGTCGTAAATAATCAAAAATATCCAAGAATAATTCATTGGCTAAGTCAGTAAAACACATTGGCTGCTTAGACATTATTTATTTATTTGTCTCTAGAACAGAAGAGAGAGAAAGAAAGAGATAAACAATATATAAAATAGCCATATTTATAATCATTAGTAGAAAATGAAGGTTATAATGAATGAACGAAAGACAGTAGGTAAATATTCACTTTAGTCGATTGAACTGAATTGTATATTAAATTCGTTAATTAGATAAAATAGAAATCTCTAAGATGCACGCACATATAATAGACAATACGTCACTTTTATAAGATAATACCTATGATCCGCTATTTGAACTGCTCGACTGCAGAGCAATTTTATAAAATTTAGAAAAAAGATTCTTTTCTTATCGATCTATAACGATAATATAGATAGATATGAACCATAAGTGTATTTTTTTTTGATGATTTTGTATTTGAAGAGAGACGACGAACGTTATTTATCTATCAATAATGAGAAAAAAGATTCTTTGTGTACAAGTCTTAATAAATGATCAATCGTTGTCCGCTTTAGAAGAAAATGTGTATAACAAGAGTCACAAAGAACAAAGTACAGACGTCGCAAATTATAGATAAATTTTAGTGTAGTTTATTTTGGAAAATAAAAAATAAAAATTATACCTTTCGCCTATCATACAAGGAAAAAGCGCCTTGCCTTATGCAGATTGAAGTACAGGTTAACAAAGATAAAACACTAAAAAAACAGGAAGTAGAAAAATCGTTGACAATTTGAAAGCTTATGCACTGGATTGCAATATGTCTTGCACTAACAAACTTTGATTCATTCGAATGCAAGACATTGAACACAATCAGATAACATAAATAAAATAAGCGCTGTATTGAACAGACTCTGAGAGCTAACTATTTCTTTGTATTGTATACATAAACTGTCCTAAATTGCGTCAGTCCTATAGAATAATTATCTTATGTTTGACGTTCAGCCAACTTTTGAGACTTATAACAGACAAATGAAACATTCCTGATAACTGAAACGGAGAAATATTCACTTTCAGCATTATCTGTAGAAGTTAGTTTTGGAAGAAGTGATTAGGTTTGAGAAAAGTAAGTAAGAAATTCGGCCAAAAAGTCTAATATAGAATATTGAGTCATTTACATAAAAATATTTATTAAATGTTCAGTTTGATGAATCATAAACAACTGTTCGTTTCTTCGAGCATATCAGTATAACTTTTATTCCCGGAACATTATATCCTTTGTGCATAGATTACCAAATTTTTTGGCAGATCTGTGGTTTATAAAGAAAAAACGAAACACTTCTGTTCTCTCAAAATTTGCGCATGCTGTACAGAATGAACAAAAATAGTTAAATGTAATATAAATATTCTGATTTACGATAGTAAGAAGGACTAATCAAGTGTGAACGAAATCTGTCTAGAACAAGGATTCAACTAGGTACGGTGAAAGACCGCTCCGTTATGAAATTTTAGAATGCTTCTTCTGACAGTCGATAAGAAATTTTTTCAGAATGGTACTGCTTTAAATTTTTTTGTATAAAAAAACGATTCAGTAACCAAACATTCTGGAAAAAAGTAGAGAATAGGCTAGAGTAGTTGTTTTATTTGTTTATGTCGGTTCCAGGTGAATGAGTTCAGTTCTGTCGGAGAAGTACTTAATGGGATAGCAAAATTCAAGTGATTACAAAATGATAACTGCACTGAATTGAGCTAAATTCGATGCAGCCATTCTATTTTCAGTTTTCAATAACAATAAAAAACAGATTCGACTCATGTTATCATCTGCCACAGACAAATATCTTTGCTAACTCTCACCAGTTGAAATTCTTTTTACTGGAACATAGTGGATGCAGAAATTCCATTTATCTACCGATTGTCATTATTGAATAACAAGGTACCTTCTATAAATATGTATCAACATAATAGATCATTTAGACTCTATTTACAAGTGAGTTGATTAGAAAGCAAAAGTTTACGAAGTCTCTCATGTGTTTATAACTCATCTAAAATATGTATAGTATCTGTCATTACTGAGTGAACGAAAGGCTAGTCCTATTCTGTTTTATGTTGTATGTTTGAACATGATGATTCAGACACTTGCCGAGAAGCTTTGTATTTCTGATGAAATCACTGAAAGAAATGCTATACCAGATATCAATATTAGATGTAATTCACTAGCTTATCTGTATTCATTATAATTTGTTCTTGACTGTTATATACTTTATTTGATTGTTAGTGTTGTGTTTAATCGTCCATCAATATTAGACTCTGTTCTGATCATAACATAGAACGTAAACATCTTCATCCAATTTAAACGAATTTTCAATAATATTTTTGTTGATAAACATGGAATTAGATAAACGAGGGTTTAAGAAAAACTTGATGTTTGATTAAATGTTAAAAATAGAAGACGATTGAAAAAACAAGCTATTTTTAAGACAATTTTATATTTAATTCCTTCGATTACACAGCTTTGTATTGAATCCTCAAAGAGAAAAGAAAAACAGTTGCATGATTGTATCGAAAGTTATGGAAAAATTATGGATTCTGAAAGAAGTGCTTCTATTTCGATCTGTTCCCAAAATAAGTCAGCTTTTCTTTTTCCAGTAATCTTCGATCTCGCCGTATTTCGTATCTGATAACGTAAAAGAGATAGGAGGTACCCTTAATGATAACGCTAAATCATTTTTTTTTCTTCAGATATTTCTCATCTAATTTTGTTGTTATTTTTTTTACACTGATATCCTAAACAGTACAAGAGTCTCAACAATGTTTTTCTTTGATTTAAAGTAAATAGACGCAGAAGTTTTGTAACAAAATACGCCAGCTACTTTTTTTTACTCTCATTATTTCATCTAATACAGTGTTCTTTGTTTTGTTGACTAGTACTAACGGAAATATTAGAATAATTGGTTCTGTGAGCAAATGCTGTCCTAATGGAAACTTCTGGTATAGATGCTTCAGCTTCAGGCAAGATTTTATCTTCTTTATTTTTCGCATCATCTTCATCAGTTGTATTATCATCACTCTATTATCTTTTCTTGGTAACAGATACTAAAGTATGTACAACTGTCAACGAGTAAACATCAAAAAATAGGAAACAATGTTTAATGGATTTTGAAAAATTCATCTAACTTATGGCATTATGATTATGGTCCTGAATATATTCTTGATAAACAAGATACGCTTGAATACGTTTTCATACCAAAGCATCGCTTAAATGTACACGTATGACCTTCATGAAATTGTCTTCATAAAGAGATAATAAATTAAATAAATAATATACAGTATTTGACATTTACTAACTGCGAAAAAATCATCAATGAATCCTCTACTTAGATTTTCCGATACTTATAACGGTTGATGTTGATGTGCAATTTACTCATCACACGACATTTAAAATCAGTCTGAATAAAAAATAGTTGAAAGTACATACTGCACAAGTCAAAATAAATAGTCTCTACCATATTACATACTGATACTGTTTGATGACAATATCGATTTCATTTTTTTTAATCCTTTGTCTTTGATCAGATTCGATATTGCTTTCAATGTAAGAAATCCACCATCTTTTTCCAATAAAAGCTAGATAAGACGATAATCTAAAACACTAAGAAAAAGATAATAAATGAATTAAACGACACACATCACTAATCAAGTTTTGAGAATAATACAAGAGATGGAAATTAGTTAGAGATATTACATTTGATCAGGTACGAAAAGTCCTATATATTAAGGAATAATTGACACGCTCTTTTTTTACAAAAATAATAGCATAAATGATATTTTAAAAATCATAACAGATAAAATATAATATAAAAAAAATGAATATCTAGTTGTCTGACTGAGTAAATGTATAAATGACTTTATAACAAGGATAGACAGAAAAAATTATTCAGCTTTAGGTTTCGTTTTTGGTTGTTTATTTATGTAAAACTGATATAAATAAAAATATCCACATAGTATCACAAGATCATCGATAATCGAATCGAATTGTATCCAGAAGTTGATTTGCACAATATTTGTCCAAAATCGCATATGCATATCAATAAATAGATTGAGAATTGTTAAATATAATGAAACTTGACATGCTCGCAAGATATATATATCGAGACAAAATCCAGCAGATACAATGAGCCATATTATTGCATGAATACGTATTAGAAATCCATACAATGGTATTCCATACAAACGTATTTCATCATTACTCCACCAGTAGATATATGAATTTAAAACCAAATAAAAAACATTTAGATACAATGATAAATAACGTAAAATAGACCGAAATCGTGCACTAGATGTATGCAAACTTGAGATAAAACATATTGTCGACATTGTACCTAGAGCATGTGTTACTGTTCGTATCTACAAATAAAAACGTTGAGTATTGAAAAAGCTCTATAACTGTTGCACACAGTCCACTTACTCTTATCCATGGATTAAGTTTTTGAAATACGTCTGTTGATAATAAATAGGCTGAAAGCAGTAATCCAAATATATGTGGTAAAAATCCAAGAGCATGTCGAAACTTTCTATCACTAATCAATATACCACTTAAAAAATGGAATGCTATAATACCATAAACAAAATATAAATGTCTTGTATCAGAATAACTAAATAGAAAAGTCATATTTTATCATTTAATACCGAAATAAGTTGATTTACTTACTCAGTTTTAGAATGTGTCGATAGTTGACCGAGAATAATTGGTAATGAAAAACTTTTCCAAAATGGATGACGAATAAGAAATTGTGTACAAATAATTTTTAGCCAAAACTTCAAATCTTTTATTGGTACTGATTGATCGTTTTTGACTTCTTGTTTGTCGGTAGTAGCAGCAGCATCTTGTCTTTCATAGGATGGAAACGATGTGCTAAAATAAAATAAGAAAAATAATTGTTTTAAAAAATAAATAAAGTAAATGCTTAAAATACAGATACCTAATTGATTCAGCCGTTGTAAATGTGGTTTTTGACTCAGTTGTCATCGTTTCTGTCAGACTATTTGAACATCTGGAATAAATTATCGCCATTGAGCATAGAAAAGGAGACAATACTTTATCATTTATCAAATAGAAAAATGATTGAAGGATATTTTTATTATTAAAAAAATTTACGAAACATGAAAAGTGCTTTTCGTGACAATTCAGCGAATTTGCTTAAACAACTCAATCATTTTTATGTATTTTTTCCACTTGATTATATTTCTGCAGAATACTTTGGTTTTTGTTACTAAAGATTAAGATGTGCGAAACAACTACTTTTTCATCTCGATAATGTGTAACAAGTGAAAATAGATAAAAACAGAAAAGACTAACTTTAAACGAAAATAAACACTGAAGGGAAATTGCAAAACAGAAGGCATCTTATTTCCGATTCTGAGTTTACCGTCAAAATTTTGTTTTGTCTTAAATTCTATGCATCCCTGATAAAGATTATATCGCATAAGATCGTACACTACAAACTTGTCGCACACAAAATGATACGCATAGGATGAGGCAAAGAACAGGCACATACAAAACGTCACTCTAGTATGACCGCTTCTCAAGAATATCTTTTTAAAGATAATTTGGAAAAGTGCCTTTTCTCTTTGTGTTTTCTATATACGGGTGTTACTTTACCAGAAACTTATCACATTCTTCTCTTTATTAACTCCACTTTACCACATGGTGTAAAACATAATTATTTTTAGAATCGATCTCTGTGAGTGATCTCGAATATAAATGATTTACCTATGATAAAGTGAGGGTAATAACGAGAAAAGCATGACAAATTTTCGGAAAAGCAGCATCCCTTTTGCTGCTCTGTTGAACGATGCATCGAGAAATACGATAGTCAAATTCAAGGATCATAAAGTTTCGATAAAATAAATAAGAGTGAATAATCGGATGCCCCTTAAAAAAGTGGATGTCGATATACAAGTGTTGAAAGGAGAAAACATCTTGGTAAATGGACGTCTGGTGTTTGCCAGTAAAACTTGAGCTCGAATGATAAAGTTTCCTTGGGATCCGTAGGCAATGCAGTCGAGTCACGGTTTGAATCAGAGACGTCGAAAAATGCAGTTCACTGTTTTTGCTTATAATTTTTGAAGAAAACATCGTGGAGAGCTGAAAAACTTGTGACAAAAAAATTTAAAAAGTTTAAGATTAGAGTTCTTTTAGCGTAAAGTGCCAGACATTACTAGAGAACTTCAAAATCGATTTTTGTTTTGTTTCAGGTGGGATGTTTCGTTAAACGTGTTTTCTTTTTTTTTTTCTATAGGCTTTTGAATAAAATATTTTCTTTAAGATATCACAAGTTCATAAAGTGTCACACGATCAGTGTGGAGAAAATAGTCATGATTAAAAATTTCAGGATTTTTTTTATCCAACATAAAGAGGCTTTCTGGATTTTCAGAAGAAATTTTACCCCTGCTTTTTTAGCTGATAAGTGCAAAAAGAACTGCTGTTTCATCTTTTGACACTAAAAAATTTGTAATTGCTTCTTTTTCAACATAAGAGGACACACTGATTCTAAATTTAACTTGTAGATACTTTTTTCTTTTACTTAATATGCTTCAACGCTTTATAGCTGTCTCGTACAGCTGTTCGCTGTTACGTCTATGTGACGGAAAAATGTGGATGGAGAGATGATGTCTTGTATTCAGAACAGAACGAATATCACAATTCCCGAAAATGAGCCACAAGTTAGAGCAGAGAGGTTATACTGGAATAAACGTTCATAGTATGTTGCTATACAGCATGTATAATTAATATGTACATATATATAGCGAGATCTCTTTCTGTTGGTGTTTCTATTATTCAAAAATGTAAACCAATCAAAACTCAACGCAATTCGCTACATTGAGTTTAGTTTTGTGTTATTAGCGCTTTTTCTGCGCAAACGGTAAATTATGAAGTATAGTGTCACTATACCAGTTTAAAAGCATTATGGAATTAGCTGTGCTCTTTTCCCGTTGTGACTATGTTATACATATATCATACTTGAGAAGTACCTGACAAGTTCCGTCACTTACGAAGGAACCTTTCGAGGTGATTAAACGCTTTTTGCTCGGAATCTAGTGGGTTATAGATTATCGACCATACTGATTACGAATATGACCATGGGGATTGCCCTTAGCCCTTCGAAAACCTAGTTTTCTAGAAAACCAGTTTTCCAGTAACTCCAAAATATAACCCAAATCTTTCTTAATGAGGCATGATTGGAGTCCGCAAATTTCTGATTAAAATGAGACATCTCCCTGCTTTGCACGACCTTTCTTTGCAGAGTTATAGAATTACAAGAAAAGCCCTAAATTAATTCTTCTTATTTCTGTAGTTTTGAGCTGACACCAACATTTAGGGCTTTTTTTGTAAATTCTCTAACTTTGCAAAGAGAGGTCCTGTAAAGCTGGGAGTCTCTGGGGAGCTGGGAATCTCATTTTAATCAGAAAGGACGGGGTGCAATAAGAACGAGGATCGGCCCCATTTCAGATCTTCTCGAAAGGTATCTAGAATGAAAGAGCATACAATTTTATGGGGTTCTATACCCTTGGTTCCCCTTCGGACCTC